CACACAATATACCTGATAATTTGCATATTATTAGTTCATCTATTTAATTTCCTTAAAAAGTTTTTCTCTCTTGATTATGATCTAAATGCAGCTATATTTTGCTCTGATTGTTTAGTTTATTAGTTTATTAGTTTTAAAAATGTAAGACTTTTTTCTCACAGGCAGTATTTTTAATTTAATGATTTAATTCTCAAAGCTGTGTCTTTAATGTGAGTTGTCTCAGTGAGTAAGAAAAAAGTCTACTTTTGATTTCTTATTGTTATGGTTACTGAGAGATAAATACAAGTAATTTAATGTTGCATGGTGGAACTAGCTAAAGATTTAATATGAACTGTTGCTTGAAATGTGTTCTTTTATTAATGTTAATGCATTTGAAATATTTTCTTGAATCTCAGGAGGATTTATATATTCTTTTGATTACTGAAAATCTAGTATTATTGAATTTGATACAGCTTATTTTTCAAAGCTCTGAGTGCTAAAGAGAGGTGGTTCGGCATCTCCCTGGTTTTGATACAAATGTGAGACATACTGAATTCATCCATGAAGACCATGAGGAAGTCGTTCATATCCAGGTCATCTGCTGAGATTATTCCTTTGCTTTGGCACAAGCATTGGCTTTGAGTGAGCTTTGGTGCAGAGTTTGAGGAGAGATGCCAGGGTGCATCATGCCTTCGAGCATGCACAAGCACATATGCACAGAAGGCCCGGGTGGAGCTGGACGTACAAGTTTAATGCTCTCCATCCCGTGATGCTGTTCCAAACCATTTTCCAGTCAGCTGCAGGTTCCTTGTGAGCATCAGAGACCAGATGAGACAAGGGCAGCTGGGACAGGCATTGCATCCAAGGAAGGGGCTGGGAAGCATGGGCAGGCTCACTTTGGCAGAACTGCTGTACCCTGGAGCAGCCAAGGAGTCACAGAGCAGTTTTGTGTTTTGACCCATGCCTTCCCGAACAGAAGAGCTGAGGAGATCAGCTAAATTGTGCTTATTTGAGAATCCATGTTGGAGTCTCTTTTCCCCATTAGTTGTAAACTGGGTGACTGGAGCATTCTCACCTTCACAGGGCACTGGGAGACACTAAGAACAGAGTTACCTGTTGATGTGTAAGAAACAAAATGGCAGCAAACTAAGGAAAGCTTTTTATAACCAGTACATTTACAGCTGTAATTTTGTATGAAGCTTGGTGGCTTTGAGGTGTGGAATTTCTTTATTTTTCTTATATTTCTCTTGTTGTTTTCTCCTTGCTAAACCAGCTATTGTACAACGTGGCTTTTCACTTGGTTTGTGTAATTTTTTTTCTCATTTTGATAAGAGGAGAAGAAGGTTGCCTTTTTTTACTTAGTTTTAATTTAAATAATATTTTATTTTAAGAAGACTATTGTACAGTGTTTACAGTGCGCTTCAATTTTTTATTCTGTCATGCCCTTCCAGTCCCTTGGCAGGATGAGAGGTGAACGTATGTATTATATAATTTATAATTAATTTATGATGAAACACATATGATGAATACTGCTTATTAAATATTAAAGCCTTGTCTACAGTTGTGGCAGTACTATGGCAGTTGCACTCCTGTCTGTTTGTGTGGTACTATTGAGCAAACTCATTGACTTTGGCTACGATTCAGAGTAGTGGCCCTGCTACTGCCTTCCCCCTTCTCCTTGTGCATCAGCAGCTGGGGCTGTAATGAGAGTAGAATCTCTGCAAAATTTAGTTGCAAACAGAGAAGGTACTGCTGGTAGTTCCTCAACTCCATAGGGATGTTATGGTTCCTTGCTGACAGATCCCTCACTGATAGAAGGCTGAGTGGAGTTGGAGAAAAACCTATCAGGAGGCCTGAATCTGAACAAGTGTAAAATCTAGGCTAGATTTTGGCAATCCATTTTTGTTAGTGAGGACTGGAATTTGGACAAGGGAATAATTTACCTGCAGGGGTTGTTCCAGCATCTGGAATTAATCAGCTCCCAAATAAGCTCAGTAAAACAGGGGCGAGAAACAGTGTAGGGGATTGTGTGCTGCCAGTTTAGGGCAGTTGGTCTTAATGAAGGCATTTTTCCAAATTCATGGCAACGAATCTTTGAAGCAGAAATAGTAGAGAAATCAGAAATAGACAGAGCTCCCTGACCCTCTGAAATCAGGGAATCCCCCCAGTCAGAAATATATTATTATAAGGCAGAAAAGAAAAAATATCCTTCTAGCGATGTTTTGTGCTCTGCCTTGCCTTCTTCAGAGTGCTGACCTATGTGTGTCAGTGAATGCAGCATACAGCAAGGAAAAAGTGCTGTCACTGTGTGATGCAACAGACCTTAACCCCAAAATTCTTGCTTCATTGTATTTAGTACCAGCCCAGCAGGCAGATTTTCTTGTACATTTTCTTGACTCTTGAGTGTCTGTCACAGCAGGTAGATTAGAAGGGGCAGGAGAGATCTGAGAACTTCAGTCAGAGAACACAGGATTGATAATTTCATATAGGATGCCGTGTAAGACCACATGTAAATGTGTGCTGTTTTCCTGAGATGACTGCATCTTATGGGAACTAAATTAGAAGCAGCAGGCAGAGCATTTGAGCACAAAAATTTTTAAAAAATCATCTGTGGTGAGTAGCTGTGTGACAGGATTGTAATCCTAAGTGATTTCAATTAGTACAATGAGAAAGGAAAACAGTGTAATTAATTTTGGCTTGATGGTCCAGTATAACCAACTTGTGTTATGTGAAGACTACGTGATCAAATATTGAAAAATACTTACAGTACAGATAAAGGAAATCAGTAGTTCTTTGGATGGACACCACGGAAAAAAGAATACTAAAACACAGGCATATTACTTCAGAACTTCTAACATATTTTGTGAGAGCTCAAGGTATAAAAATTGCAACAAAATCTAATTCTAATGACTTTGGTTTTGTTCTTTTCCCAAAGATTTCATAGGATGATTTAATGATATGACAGATTACGAGGAGCTTGTTTTAATATTGATTAAATCACACACAAAGACAAAATTCACAGGCCTTAAAATTACATAAACAAAATTGACTTATAAGATTTGATCTTAATGGGGAGTGATATCTTCATTGGTATTGAGCCTCTGATCTAATATCACTTTATACATACAGCTGTGAAGATTTTTAAAAAAAGATCATAACAGTATGTGGAAATTACCAAAGGAAAAATTATGTTTAGTAAAATAGTGCCTTATTTTGTATAGGAGGAAATCATACTGGAGAAACCCTGCCTTTGGTCTTAGGGATGGCATCAGCCCTAGGATTGTTATGCATTTGAAAAAAACAGTTTTCACTGAATCTCACATATCTAGTTACATGTTTCTCTTTTCATTTAACTTGAATGAGTAAATTGAAGATAAAAAATTTAGTGACTGTGTCTCTTTTTGCATGTTACTAGGCAATTGTTGGAATCCTCACTGATTATAGTAGGTCAGCTTATTGTCATTATTAAATGACAATGGTCATTAAAATGGCAAACATTTCCGTAGAATTCACTTCATAAAATGTCAGCAAGTTTGTATGTTTTTATTAGTTCCAAATCAAATATTTCAATAGACCATTTGTAAGTATTCCCAGAACAATGTCCATTTCTGAATTTTTGAGACCACACAAAGATATTACAAATTAATCAGATTTTCAGATTTCTGCATAATAACTCTTCACATTTATTGTTTAATCCAATTCTAAAATGCTGTTATGATTGACAACTTGCTGTAGAGATGGAAGTCAATTGAATAATATGTAGCAGTCAATTTTATTTGAACCTTAATGTGGTGAAGGTGGTTTTTTTCACATTTCCATTATTTATAAGTTGTTCCCCTTAGAGAATATATAAAAGAATTTGTTTTAAATGAGCTGATAATACCCTCTTTAAAATTTATGACAGAATCGTATCCTTTTTCCTTACAGCACAAGGGTGTGCCAAGAAGCTGTTTCTGAATTATCTCACTATTCATAGGACAAACATTAGAAAACAGTATCTTGTTAAGGTTTACTTAGAATGTAGTTTCAACCACTCATCAGAAAAAAAAAAATAAAAAAATTACAAAACAGGAGATATCATATCTACCAGGAAACCTGGTGCCATTTCCAGGGTTTTCTTTATAAGAGACCACAGGAGTTTTGCAGCTACATTTGATACTTGCTGTCATTCTTACAACCTCAAAAATCAATGTGGGCCTGGTCATGCCATCAGCACTGAAAAACTGGGAATGAGTTGAGCCCTCCACCCAGAGGAAATGGAGGGTTGGGATGTAGTTTTGAAAACATCTTGGTACTTTCATACAACTGATAAGATGTTTTTATTTTTCTTCCTTCCTTTCAAATCTGTATTGCAGACTTCAGCAAAATCTGGTAGGGCTGGACTGTGTTCTATGCTTAGCAAGTCATTAGTGCCCAGCATATTGTTCGATTGTTGGATATTGATCATCTCAATAAATGCTGGAAATCCTTGGTTTCGCAGAATTTTGCTCATCCTCCGCATGCAACTTAAAAAAAAAGCTGTCATATGGAAGATACCAGTTTTCAGTTTTCATAATGCCTTTTTATTGAGCCTAGTAGAGCCATTGCTGCCTCAGTAAGTGACAAGAGAAAATACTTTATTAAGACAGAAAGTAGATGTGACTTGATTGTTTTTCAGATAATTTTTGCTTTCAGAAATTGCAATGGCTGATGCTCACCTAAGCGTAAAAAAATGCAGTTCCCACACGCCGGAGTGCTCATGTACTGTATGTAAATTGATGTATAATGCAACCCACATTAGCTGAGTTGATGATAGCTTCAGTTTCACTGCTGTCAGATTTCTGTAACTCTTTGAATGAGTTGGCTGGTCTGAATGAACGTTAGCATAATTTATGCAGCTGATAAGCGATTTGAGTGCTTGAGTTATTGATAAAGCACTTTAACATATCATTTTCAGCTTCATGTTATGTGACATCAGAGTAGAAGGTAATGTGGCAGTCTCCAGGCTTGATATTAAAGTCAATCTGTTCTCTGGATTTCAGAGGCCAGAGGAAACACAGTGCTGCCTGATACGAGCCCAGCAGACCAGCACCAAACCAGTCAGTCCCATCCAGCATTCCCTGTTGGGCCACAGGTCAGTATCTTTCCTTTTAAATAATCGAGATGTGCAATTTGATGAAAAATAAATAACTGTGATTGATCGTCTTTGATCTGTGTAATGTAGGAAATGTTATGCTCTTTGGCTGCATTCAGTGTTACAAAAAGGGAACATGTAGGTATTGTATGTTTTTTGAAGTCAAGTTTGGCAAGATTAGATTTTGTATGCTTTTCTAAAATAAAACCTAAGAAGTTTTACATATTTGGGAGTTAAAATGTTTTAATTTCTTATGTAAATTACTTCTGAAATTAATATAATAATTTAATATTTAAAAGATTGTGCAATTTTAATGCAGGATTATTGTCTCTGACAGTTATGTCTGTCACACAGAGCTCCTATATTAGTAAAAGTATTTCATTATCTTTTATGCCAGATGTTTATTTCTTTACAGCACAGTATAAACATGGTAGTATGGCACTTTATAAGATTTTAAAATATTTTCCTTCTCACTTCAAAAATTTTATCCAAGTTCAGCTATACTCTAAGAAGATACTCAATATTCTTCCACTTCCCAGGACAGTCTTGGTCCACAAAGCTGTCACTGTAGTATTTTCTGCCCTTATCAATCAGTATATAACCAGGAATTTTTTTGAAATGGTGGCATTTAAGTACTTGTAGACAAAGTTGAGTTAGGTCTTCTTTCGCTCATAAATTTTCTTTTGTGTATATGTAATGAATTTTCCAGTCTAGATTCAGCTGGGATTGTTACTATGCTGTTTGACTGAGGCTTACAGTTCCAGACTGTCATATTTGTCAAACCTTTCTGTGTGGGTGAAAATGTATGCTTTAAGGTACTGGAAGCAGTGCATGTCTGTAATGGAACACGAAAAGATCTCAAGCCAGAAGGGTTGTAAATGTGTAATACTGAGCTGTACACAGTAAAACAGGTTTGTGTCTGTGGTTTCTTACAGCCACTACTGACAGCCCAACAGTTAGCCTCGGCAGTAGCAGGGGTGATGCCAGGAGGCACTCCAGCCCTGAATCAGCCAATCCTTATTCCTTTCAACATGGCTGGGCAGCTGGGGGGCCAACAAGGACTCGTCCTAACTCTACCTACAGCAAATCTCACCAACATCCAAGGACTGGTAGCAGCAGCTGCAGCAGGAGGCATCATGACTTTGCCATTGCAAAATCTACAAGGTAAGTCATGTTCATTATTTTTATAACAGGGTCTTTTACCTTTCTTTCAAACTGAGTGATCTCTTTTTCAAATCAAATGTTGCTGTTCATGAATATTGAGAAGTCGTACTTGGATTGTTTTTTGAATGCTTGAGAGATACTTAAGGGCTATTTGCCTTTTTTATAAAAACATGTTGGAGGTTGGGTCTTACAATCTATGGGTCCGTAATGTAAACCACTTGAATGAGTCATTAGATTTTTCTGTCATCAGTGATCAGTGTTCTGTACTCACAGATCACTTTGAAATTTCAAACCATAAAATAATAGAATAATAGAATATCAAGGGTTTGGAATGGACTTTAAAGATCATCTAGTCCCAACCCCACCAGCCAGGGGCAGAGACACCTCCCCTTAGACCAGGTTGCTCAATGTCTTATCCAACTTGTCACGGTTGGGGCATCTCCAACCTCCCTGGGCAACCTGTTCCACTGTCTTATCACCCCCACAATGAAACATTTCTTCATATCTAAGCTAAATCTTCCCTCTTTCAATTTGTACCTATTATTGTCTTATAACTACAGTTCCTGATGAGGAGTCTCTCTCCAGCTTACTTGTAGAACCCCTTCAGACACTGGGAGCTTGCCATAAGGTCTCTATGTGATTTTCTCTTCTCCAGGCTGAACAGCCCCCACTTTCTCAGCCTGTGTTCAGAGGGGAGGTGCTCCAGTCCTGTCACAAACTTCATGGCCCTCCTCTGGACTTGCTACAACAGTTCCATGTCTTTCTTATGTTGGGGACACCAGAACCATGCACAGTACTCCAAGGGGATCACATGTGAGAGGGGCAGAGGGGCAGAATCGCCCCCTTTGACCCTCTGGCCACGCTCCTTGTGATGCAGCCCACTGCTGATTAAAGCAGCTTTGTAATAGAGATAACTAAAAATACAGTATTGCATGAAAATAACTTCTTAAAAAAAAGTTACAATAAAATCAGAGTTTTCTCATCTGTCATCCATGCCCCAGATATATGTTTTCGTTCTTGCTGTGGGAGGTCTGCTTTATCAATAAGGTTCTACTATCCTCTTTCAAGTTGTTGAGAGAGTTGCATGACTCAAAAGTAACTAGGAAAAAGTTAATCTCTGTAAGTGTCCTCTCTATTGTCTGAGCTGTACCATGTTTGCAATGGTTCTACCCTGAGGGATCTGCTACACTTTCCCTGTGGTCTAAAATCAGACTGAAAGCAATTCTATAAGATCCCTTTTCTTCCCTGTTCAATCAATGTGTCTGACACTGTTAGGACCAGTACTCAATGCAAGCACATATGATATAAAATACAGATGTATGTATTTACTAGTCCTAACTATGTTGATGCTTCTCAGAATGCAGTTGCTGCTGAACTGAACAGAACAAAGTACAGCAAGATAATGTTAGCCAGTATCTTACAACAGAATTGTATAATTTTAATGGAAAAGGACAGTAAAGGAAGTGATAGTCCAGTGTGAAAATGACAAAAGTGTGAGTAGGAAATGTAAAAAGACAGCTTTAACTCTTTAGATTTATTTATTGTTATTTCTTCCCAATGTAAGACGTATGAATATTATCCTCCAACAAAATGGTAATTTTTAAAAATTAATCCTCTGCACTGTGCCCTAAATACCTATTAGTCATCCAACTCTGGTGGCTGCTGATTACCAGATCCTACAGGTTGTCAAACAGAGAAAACAAAGAGACAGCTCTTGTGTTGAACAAACTCCCTTACAAAGTGCATGCATAGTACTCTCACCTGTTGGAGCAGCTACTTGCCTTTACCTTGTGCATGTTTTAAAGTTTAATGTCAACAGACCTCTCTTATCATAGTTGTAAATGGTTTTCACTTTAATGTTTAAAATAATGTCTCTCTCATACCATTAAGCTGCACCAAAGAACCTGTCATTCATAAATGATAGATGAAAAGGACACACTAATGCACAAATTTTGCTTGTTTAAAATTTGAGAGTGCATGTAAAGTAGGAACGGGAGATTAAAAAAATAATGCAAGAACAGGAGTGGGTAAAAGCAGATATAACAAAGTGAAGGGGAAGTAGCTTTTTAGCGTAGGTGGATGATGAAATCTTAATGAAGAAACAGGCATTATAAAAACGTATCCTTCCACTCTGGAGTGCTCCAGGTTAGAGTTGCTGGGTATGTAGTATTATAAATAAACATAAGTTTGTGCAGTTCTTACGTCATTTATTCACCCTGTGTTGCAAAGCTGGAGGGTAGGGATTAAGCCAGGCAACCTTTGCTCTTTAGTTTAGCCATGGATGTCTAATTGCTAGCTAAAAGACGTAACTTTGCTGCCAAATAAATTTTGCAAGCAATGACCTTATGAGATGAAAAGGTTTCCTTTATAATCTTTACTGGTAGATAGAAGCCTGGGATCAAATAGGGACTTGTGGGAGCAGCAGGTTCAGTTCCCTGTCTATGAACACAATCACACCTTCCATAATGTATCTGAAAGGAATAGATCTCATGAATTTATTTAGTTGTGTTGCTGTTTGTTGTCTTCTCTACCCTTCCTTCCCGATCTTGTAAGCAAGTGCTACTGTCTGCCCTCAGTTTTTGGAAGTGAAACTGATACACAAGGCAGCAAAGTAACCTAGTCAAGATAGCTCCTACCATCCTGAATCACAACTGTAAACTGCCATTGTTTGCTCTGTAGCTCACTGTCCAATGCATGCATTAATGAAGACAGGAATCAAGTGAGAGTATTATGTGGTATCATCAGTTCCATTGAACCTGGCGGACTTCTGGTCCCTTTTTTTTTTTTTGTGATTGGTTGAAAGTAATCATAGAATGTGTGTTCTATTTTGTAGACAACATTTTTATAGGTATACTCATAAAATCCCATCCTTGAACATATTTTGGTAATTCCTGCTCTTTTGGTGAAATCAGATCATAATCATCAGCTTCCACCTCTTAACCTCACTGTGGCATGATCAACTTAGATAATGGGAGGACATGATTTCATGCTGTTTTCCAACCTGTCTTAATACTCCTGTTGCCATATCTGCTGTCCCTGAATTTTCAGTGAGGTCAAGCATAGATGTCCTCAGCTCCTGTGGCCTGGGTCTTCTCCTGTCTTTCTTCTCTTGTAAGTAAACTTCTAAAACTCTTCATTGCAAACTACCCCAGATAGGTAGCTCAAAAGACACCCTGGAAACATTTTGAATAATGTATGAATTAGAAAAAGTTCTGCTTGGACAGAGTACTTGAATTCATACTGAATGTTGATCAAGGGTGTAATTCCAGCATATTTTTTGTGCTCCACATACATGTTTGAATGATTTTCTTCTTAGGAACTTTCAGGTCTGATTCAGGATGATGAGACCACTCAGTGATAGGAATCACAGAGGAGAGAAGTACATAAAATGAGAAATCAAGAATTTATTTTAAAATGGAGCAATTAGTTATTGCTCACCCAATATAATTTACCAATATTGCCTACTCTTCACTTGCCATTTACCTATAGAAAAATGTGTTTGTGTTAAATTGTTCAGTTGCTGTATGGTCCTGATCTACCACTAAACTGACAGGAATTTCATTGCTGTAAGTGAAGAGGTTTAAACCAAACCTCTTCCAAAGCGTCTTTTCTTCTTCTTCTCCATACTTGATTATTTTCTGTTCATTACACCCTGTCATTTGCCATACACACTGCTATACCATATCTGTTCCCTGAGCAAATATGACAAATGTATGCAAACAGAAGAAAAAGAGGTGAATGTGTAAATTCTTGCTGTGAAACTTAGGAAAATATGTTTTCCCTGGCATCAAGCAAGCAAAGTTTGTATGCACAGCTAATATGCAAATAATACAATTTACTAAGATAGAAGAGGGGGGCAGAATAAAATATCTACCTTAGTGAAAACAGAAATCCCTGAACAAAACACCTGTAGAATTTTGAGTTTCCACCAACAGTTCTTTGAAGAAACTAGTAACATTAGCAACAATAACTTTTTAGTGTAATCCACTAAAAGCACTGAAGATAAAAGTTTAAAAACTACCCATGAAAGATGTTGTCCCAAAAAACTTACACACCTGTTTTCCCCTTACCATTTCTTAGAAATAGAGGTGGAACACAGCCATGCTTTCCTAAAATTTTGCATGTGTCACAATAATAATTGTGAGGTTGTGAGAAGGGAAAAAGTGAGGCAGATACCCTACAAGACAGTGTGTTCCCCATCTTCTGCTCTTAGTCCATTACTTCTTGGCTTGTCTTTATAGACTTAAGGCAGAAAGTAGTCTGACAGCCTCCCTCTTGATCATCCAAACTGGTGGTTGTAAGTGCTCATCTTCCTGCCTTCAGGAAACTTCTGTGGGCTGAACAGTCTCAGTTTTTGCATCTCTTTTGCCAGGTCAAATTTCTTTCTGTTTTGGGAGGACTATGTTATTTTTTTTAAATTTAGTTATTCTTCTCAAGAGACTCTCCAAGGGACTAGTAGTTGCTTAATCTCAGAGTATTCAGTAATGCCTGGGAGCTGATATTCATGAAAAGACATTCTCATTCTCCACTTAAGCTCATCTGATTTTTATGTCTCAGTGTAATATCTCTGTATAGCTGAACGAGAAACCTTTTGGGTTGAGGGGGCTGAGTTTGTTGTGACTTGTTTTGTTTATGTTATTTTTACCCTATGAATTTCCTGTTGAAATAACTGAAAAATGGGAAGGCATTCCAGTCCTGGGGAGTTGTTAACAGCTGTCCTCTCTTTTTAGTCTCTTTTCCATGACAACCAAAGCAGTTTTAGCTAAAGAGTTAACGTATTTTAGCCATTCTTTTAGTATAGAATATGTATATTGAAATTAGAAAATTGCAGTGTTTTCTGTCAGCTCACTGCTGGACACTCACTTGCCATGGATAACAATCTGGGAGTCTCTCTGCAAAGGGCTGGTCCAAATATATTTTATCACATAGCAATGGCACACCAGTGTTTTAGACATATGTGCCAATACAGAGAGAGAATGACACTGGAACCTTGAAAAAAA